TTATTTAAGTTGCTGCACACCTAATGCCTCCTGGCTTTTCGGTGTGTGCATCAAGCTGTGTTAGGGCCACAGCAATCTATGGAAGAAGCTGGAGGCTCTGGGACTCCAGCACCAGCTTCTGAAATGAGTAATTTAACTTAAACTAGGATATTGCTGATATATCAATTTTATCAAACTTGTTCTCTGGAGCATGTCATAAAATCTGTAATGGTTCTTTTGGATAAACCGTTGATTAATGTCACATATGCACAAAGCCATAGTGCCTTTCTACTTGCTTAGTTAGTACGTTAATCAGGATGAAGCCCATATTCTTTGCTACTACCTAAAAGTTAGCCTCTGATGGATATTTAAGGTATGTTTCATCCAATTAAACGGGTATGACTGAACCTGCTATTTTCAGTCTTTGAGTTTAGCTCTGAATTAAAGTGCAACTGAAAAATACATACAAAAACTAAAATCATAAGGGCTTTGCAACATCTAGCTTTAAAGAAGTTTCATGATTATTGTAAACAGAACAACCTGGTAGGACAAATTTTTTTCTTCTCTTTTAAGATTTCTTTAATAAAGGGTTTATGATGCTAAATTAAAAAAAAATTCTCTCTGAAAATAAAACTGCCAACTGTTAAGGCTGATTCTTTGAAGTTCACTGCATGAACTTTACTATCTCCCTACTTAATATTAGGTAACCCATAACTGAATTAGATATCCTAAATCATTCATCAGGCTTGAGTTACCCCATAGGTGGGAAAAGGAAACATCAAAATCATACGGAGACATTAAGTGAAATACTTCTCCAATTAATAAGATGTTCAAGAAATGTTTCCAGTAGTGTCAGTTTTATTTAAAAAATAGAGTCCAAACATTGCTTTTGATAAGGTGCAACATATATACTGTTTCCTACAATTAAAAAAAACCAAGACCAAAGCAAAACAATATTCATAATTATAGTGTCATTCCAACACGGAATCAGTGGATCTCCTGTAATTCTTAAACATTCTTTCCCTGCTTCATCAAAGCATAAGAATTAATAATTAGTATCACTGTGACAGCCAAAGGGTCTGGCTAATGTCATCTATGTTCTGTATTTTAATAATAAACTTTCTGGTACAGATTGCTTCAAGTACACATCAGAAGCTGAATGTAACTGTAACACAGTTCATGCAAAACAAAGGTACAATACTGAACTTGCATCATTTAAAGATTTTTGTTCTCTTGTTTAGTTTGACATCTTCAAAGTCCAACTGCTTGAACACAAGGATTAAACTGAGGCTGCATAAAGTGAGCACTATATACTAAAGTACTTACGCAACTCAGATTGATCAGGCTACGTGACTATCTCGAGCTCTAAAAATCGAAATAAATATTTAAGGCTGAGATCTATGCCTCTTTGAGTCTATTCAGTAACTTCTGAGACATATTGGGGAATACAGATGGAAAACAGTGACTGATAATGGGCTTGTTATGGGGAAATACATTAAATCATTACATCAGAACTGCATTTTTGAGAAAAGCATGTTATTAGTTTATATTAAGAGTGTTCCCCATTCAGCCACTCAAGCTAAAAGAGCAATGAAGACTGTAGCATGGGGGAAGTTCAACAGAAAGACTTAACAGCCAATTACCACCTCTGAAAGTGTCTAAAGTGTTAAGTTTTCTAATTAGCAAAGTCTGTCCAGTTTCAAAACCCTTCTTGTCATTCTAGCATCACCTCAGCCTTGATAATGCCAAGCAGCTAAAGTCAGCTATGGCTATGCCAGTTCTGGAGAGCTAGATACCCGTCCTTGCTCTGAGGGGGTTTAACATGTTTTGAACAAGGAGCAGCGGTCTAACTACCCATGTACAGTTACACATACAAAACTTTTTTCCTTGACCCCTTAGATATTTAAACCATTCCATCTAAAGAGGAACATAGAAAAGAGCTGGACCCCCATTTACCTGCCTTCTGCTTGGGGGGTAGTCCTGGGGTCAAACTGCACCCACAATAAGTGCATAAATCTCAATTCCTTCTGTTGTTTCTTCCAAACCACCATGTTAGTGTTATGGATCCTGTTCTTAAGCCCTAAGGGCTCCTCACATGCAGTCTAATAAGATGAGGCGACATGCTATCACAGGGCTGACTGTTGATTTTAGTGGATCAGGCCTCTGGGTATTAATGGGAATTAGCTACAAAAGTTTATGCCTATGCATAGCCACGGGCTGACTTTAAGCTGATCACCTGAGTCAATACCCCAGTGAGTTTGTATTCATGGCAATTTTAACCTCAGTTAGGTGACTCCATGTCTTTTTCTCAGGAAATGACAATTTTTTCAGTGTTGATATACCATCCTGGTTCCTGTTAGCAAACACTGTCCTCAATACCATCAATGCTCTTCAGAGTTAGCTCTGCCATGGACTACATGCTAATGCAGCATGGACTGAAATTTCCTTGGCTAACAGAGAAGGCTTTAGATCTCTCTTTTTCCCTGACATACATGAAGCCTTGAGTTTGATTTCAAATAGCAGATAAATTCACTTCTCAATTTATTTCTTTTGGCTTATCAGCAAAAGAGGTATTTTAGTATTCAAGTGGGGAGATTATGCACACTTGTTTCCTATGTAAACATAGAGGAAGATGGAGAAAGTGTTCCTCAAACATCTATGTATTACACATTAAGAGCTATAAAAGTGAAAAGTAGAACACAGTCCTTCAGTTTTCATTTCAAAACAAGATTGCCTTCAAAAGTCAGCCTATTTATCTTAGTCCAAATCCCTTAGTTTCTAGTTTTGGATAGGAACTGACATTGGTACTAAGCCCCTTTTGGGGTTAGTTGTGGGAATGCACTGATTTTGTGATGGCATCTCTGTTCAAATGAAGGAATCCAATGTTTATGGGTTTGGTTGTTGATTTGGTTGTTTTTTCATGAGTTTGGCTGATGATAGCTTCACAGAAAAACATAACAAACAACAATATTATGTTGTATTTCCTATTTTCAGAAGGAAAAGGTTGCTCAGTTCTGTAGTTTACATAGATTTAAGAATATCCCTTTAATAATACATTGTACTGCAGATGTTCAGTTAACAAAAAGTATACACTAAGATATTTATGGGCTTTGGCCAGAGCTACATATATTTATGCCAGTCTGTTTGAAACACTATTGTTAAATGGAGTACTTAGCAGATTAAAATTATCCCTTAACTTCCGTTTCTTTTACTTAAACAATTTGGGCCGTACTTTGTGTGAATGCAGTGGGACACATGCCAGAAGGAAGCAGGGTCACTGGAGATAAGAGGAGGAATTTGTGACATATAACTTTGGGCATCTAACTTAGGGTGCACCTGGCTAGTTGTCTCAGTTCAGGGACACAGTAATCATACACATTGCCTGCAAGTTGAATCAACCATCTGGCTTTTGTCTGGAGTAAGCAACAGGCTCTTCTGGCATGAAAGGACTCCCCTCATCTCTGTCCATGAAGACCATCTGGACGCAATGGACTTGAGCTACTGGTATCTGTATGAATTTGAACAGAAATACCAGAGGTCTTAGATGCCTAAATGAAGCATCCAAACTCTTGGAGGGTCTGAAGGGGATTCAGGGCATCTAAGTTAGGATGCAACCTCTCTCTACTATTTAAGCTTATAGTTATAAAGCATACAGTGGGCAGTGTGGATTATGTGTTACTGAGAGTAGAATTTCGTCTTCTGTTACTGATAGCAGTAAAGTGCTAGTATATTAACACAGACAATGTTGACTCCGTGCATCTCACATAGGACCAGAACATGGGTTTAGGAAAATTTAGCATTTTTACCTGAGTGACTTGGAGGTCCCTGCTGGGGGCTGTTAAATCTTGTGTTCTTGCTGCAAACAGATCAATAATTAAAGCTTTGTTATTGTTGTTTGCTTTCTCAGTCCCTTTGATCTTATCCAGTCACAGGACTGTGACTGGCAGATGCATAAAGAGTAGATCTGCTACAGAATAAATGTCTGTGACTGTTAAATTAACTTCAGCAATCTCTTGGCAGGTGCAGACAAATGCCAAGAAATAGCAACGATGAACTAAATGGAGCATCAGGAATCAATGCAGAACTTCATTAGTTTGTGAAAAATGATGTTGTACACAAGGGGAGACAGATGAGGGATTCAGACTCTTGTCACTAACATCAATGAGAGCTGGATACCAGTCTCCTTTCAGTGCCTTTAAAAATTCCTCCACAGGCTTCTATGTTTTTTCCTGTTGTCACAGCAAACCACGTAATACTAAATATTACAGTACCTGTATGCAGAATTGCATAGAGAAATAATAAATCCTTACAAATAAGTCACATTTCAACATTAATAAAGGGAAGCTGATTGACAGAAATGCTAAACTGTATAAAATTCAAAGGACTAAATCAGGGAGCAGGGGACACTACGTTTTGAACTGAGTTGAAGTGTGTTCTTGCTCCTTTAACTGCAGTCCTGATTCACTTAACTTTTACAAAAATAAAAGATGATGACAAAATTATTCATTCTAAAATATGACGATTTTTTCCCTCATGAAAATGGTATAATTCAGTAGCAAATAAATAGCCATGATTTCAGTAACAAAACCAATTGACATTACTCATACACACTCTCTAGTTTGGAACACAAATCTTTACATCTGTTAACAGCTTATAGATAAACTGTGTCTGCTAGTCTTCACACCTGCCTCGAGAGCTACTGTGAATGTCGATGCACCCCACTGGCACTCCTGGCTCTGTCTCTAAGTGCTACATCACTTACACCCACCAATGCTCCAACTGAGCTGTTGGGAATCTCATTAAGGAAACACAGCTTGATGTCTGCAGCTGCTCAGAGCTTCTAAACTGCCTTCCTCATTAAATAAGTGCCATCCTGCATCCACTCCCTCTGTCAGAGGCATATTGGGCCATTCCTCATACACATTACATTTTCTCTTGAAACAAAATGAAACACCAAACATAGCCTTTGTGTTAATCTAGAAGGGATTCCTTTGGGGTTACTTTCTTCTTCCTTTACCAGTCTAGTTAAACATGATAGATTCAGGGTCCTGGTTTGCCATTTGAGCCATATGTCTTAATACATCCTTTTTAGTTATGATACCCAGCAGCCTCCTAGAGGAGAAAAGGAAAGGAAAGGTCAACAATCATCTCATATATCATCCGGTTTTTTCCCCTGTTCAGCTGCGGGGACATTTTGTGAGTGCTTCCATATAGCACTGTCCATCTCATCCATTCCCCAATTATTATCTTCTATAAAAAGCATTCTCACTTCGTGTATTTCATTTATGATCGTTAAGTGAAATACTTTGGGTTGTTGCCTCCTTTTATTGGGAACATGACTGACTGAGGAGCTACAACTACTGACGCCTTGTACAACACGGTAATGAGTTTCCTTAGGTTCAGGCTGCAGAGGACCAACAGCACAAAAGGAAGGCACCAGCGCCCTGAGCTAGGGCATGGAGTTTAGTAATAGGTGAACTAAGCTGAAGGACAGACTTGCTGAAACTCTCAGTCCAACAGCAGAATTCCTTCAAATATGAATTATAATTTCTCCTTTATGTAAACCTAAATGAATTATATCTGTCAAGAAAGATGAGGCCTATGGGATGTCTGGCCCCAAGAGTCAAAAATTTCCTAACCCTCAGTATTAAAGGGCTTTTATTTCCAGTCCTTGAAGGCCACAAGGCACTGAATTATGAAACTACATCATTGTTATAGTTTTTCCACCTTTCATTGCCTGTAAGTGCTAAAAATGAAGATCAAAATTTAGAAATCCCAGCACTTAAAATCAGGACCTAAATCTGTGTCCTGATAATGGTCCTCATTTTCTTAATGCTGAGGACACTGCATTGATAATAACAGGTACTATATATTTGAATAACAAAAAGACTTTTTGTAGAAGTCTAAATTTTAGTCTTCCACATTTGAAAATGATGGCTCTGGTTTTGCTATCCTATTGTAAAGTTTCTTCTTACCACTAGATATTGGGATTGAGCAATGCTCCCAAAATAGCTCAAATCCCATTGGAATTGTGGGATGTTATTTCTAGTGCACATGGTGCTGCTTTTTACTCTTCTGATTTCATGTTTGCTCACACTTCTTCATCTGTTTTTTGTGGACTTTTGGTTTAAATGCCTTTCCATTTTCCTCTAAAGAAAGCTGAGCAGATTAATTTTCCTCCACTGATATCTCTATCACAGTCTTCACAAGCATCTAATCTAGCTGGATGTCTAGAAACAGGCACATCCTTTACAAACAAGACTACTTGCCAGATCTGCCTCTGCTGAAAACTGAACGATAGTGGGAGTCAGAATGGTTTATTTTGTGTTTATCTTTACCTTATCTAAATAATAATACACTAAGGATTTGGGAGAACAGAATGAAACATGATGCCCAGCAAGGGCCATTTTGGCTCTGAGTCTGACTTCATTTGCTGCCCTGGAGAGACACGTGGGCAAGCTTCCCTTATTCTTCAATTCATAAAATAGACAGAAATCAAAATGTTTACTTGACTGTCTCAGAGGTGTTGATTAATTAGCTACTGTCTATACTTGGCTTTACACAGGAAAAACGGTGTTTTTGTTAATGCTGAAGAAAATCTCCCCAGATTCTTTAAGAGTGCTTGACTCAGCATCTACTCACCCACTGCGAGTGACAAGACACTGCCGGAGTCCGAGTTTCCGGAAAATATCTACCACAGTCTCCATTGGTGTGTGGTCAGTGACAGTGAAAGGGCTCAGGTTGAGAATACGCCGCAGCTTCAGTGGATGGGGACTGTTGGGTGGCAGTTCTGGGGGGTCTTCAGTGAAATACACGATGGAGTTGCTCACCACCCCATCCTGACGCTGTCTTGCATTCTCTGTACAACAGAAAGATCAAGGTAGACGGTGAGTTAGTCTTCATAACAAAACAAAAACAATTATCCTCCTTTGGAAAACAAAAGTAGTAGTAACAAAAAGCTACTACTACCTTTGCTTTCCAAAGGAGGATAATGTGTTTTACAAACACATACTTTTGCTTGGTTGGGGTAATTTTCTGAATAAACATGCAGCTCATTGTGTTCACAAACATCACTAATCCATTTTCTGTCAAATTCAAATGATTATATGTCATTTCCTCCATTGTGAGAATCACAACAGAAACTACTATTATATGCCCAAAGGAGTGGAGTCAACAGCCTGTGTACAGTCCCAGCTGGCTTGGAGCAGTATGTTTGTTCCCAGACTTCTCAGTGGAGTGGGGGAAATCTGAACATGGTGAATGGATTTATGAACACAAAGCTAGGAAAAGACAAATTCGCGTTGCAGGGATCTGGGGGTAGTGTGGGTGTTGTTCCAGACCAGCACACCTCTCTGGCATGCAGAGTGAATTTTGTGGTTTTGTACTTAATGCTTTAAATAGAGTTTGCATATCTAGATTTTAAAAGGGCAGAAAAAAATAGCATCCTACTTAAAGGAAAATAGTAAAGAGGGGAACAATACATAGCAGTAAATGAATTTGATAAATTTTTCTCAACATTACATATTTGACCACTTTCAAAAGGTCAAAAGCTGTTATTCATACTTTGATCAAACTATGACATGAACTTTACACTACATCTGGACTCTACATGATCAGTATAAGCCTTTTACTTTAAAGTATGCTCCAACAAGAACTCTCAGCATTGAAGTGGTTTATTTTCTTTGTAGTGTTTACCTCATTTCTACTCCACACTACAGGGCACAACCAGTGTATGGGATGGATTTCCAAATGACAGACAACTTTTCTCTCCCCAGAATAAGCATATCATGTGTTCAGCTCTGAGGGTTTAACTCTTTCTTCTTTTTTGTATAAATTCTTGGAAATGGCTGGACTTATTATCTTTGATTAATTTAGGTTGCTTCTGTTCTTGAGAGGTACAGCAAATCAGACATACTCAAAGCCTATGTATATATTCTTGGAGATCATTGCCATCAATCAAAGTGCAGAAACCCGCTCCTGTGACTTGTAATGTGTAGACAGTAATGGTTTCCAACATGTTCCAGCTGCATTTTTTCCCTTTAACAATCATTGTCTTGTAATATTTCTGGAACCAGAGTAGTGCTGGCTCAGACCTAATATCAGTACACTATATGATTTTCAACCTTCTCACCCCACATGTTACAAGCCCTATTGCAATTTATAGGAATGATGCTAACTTTGTCTCATCTTGTTTTGATTCATACATCTAATTTCAAGTGTGAACATGCCTGCACAGCTCTTTGATATATGATCTGTGGTAAGAGGTAACATTAATCAAACTGAAGGTAACTCCCACCCTTTGATAAAAACCCTTGACAGCTTAGGTATTTCCTTCCTGAAGCTGCACCCAAAGCAATAGGCCCATGCATTTTAGTTACCACATTGCTGTTCCCAAGGCAGCAATGACTCTGGACAACAGTGATTAGCCAAAGCCATGACTTCACTCTTCAAAGTCAAACATCTCTCATGAGAAATTTGAATGATGTAGTACTATTGAGCAAATTCAGTGGCATCAGAAAATGGTGGACTTTGTATGCAGTCTCACTGGATGGAGGAGTTAGAGTAAAGGTAAAACAGAATAACAGATCATTTTTGCAGTCAGTGGGTAAGAGAAAAAGATATAGCTTAACAGAAAGAGCAAAGCAAATGGATGACGATGTCTGGTTTTACACAGTAATCTATGCAGAAGACTTTTGTCATAGCTAGAGAGTGAATTAGTTCTGTCAAATGTGAAATGGCATCTCATATTCAGGAGTTCACAGTTCACAGCCTGTATTAACTATGTTGCTCTCTCAACTCCACACTGGGAAAAGTACATTATACAGGCCACCTGGCTTGTGTCCAAGACTCTGCCTTTTGTACGATGCCTCTGAAGCTGGCCAAATTTGAGAAGAACCCTACAGTGTCAAATACTCCCCTCCGTAAGACTGTAAAGTAGGTGCCATCTGAAATGTAGACACCTCTTCCCAGAGGGTGACTCTGCCCACCTGACCTGCCCACCTGCTCAACAAGGATGAGTGGAAGGATGCAATCTACCTGAAGGTACTTCTGAACAATTGGAAGTGGCATTGCCATCCACTTTACAGGCACTGGATGCATTTCTAGAGCATGCTTAGTGCTCCACTTAGTAAGAAAGAAATTATGTAGGGGTAAATCACGAGGCAGAGCTGTGTGTGAACACATATTCGATGTGGGACTCAACACCTCTTGCCTTCATCCAGGAAGTCAATTGTGTGAGGGAATCGGAGTACTTCCTCAGAGTATTCCCCGGGCCACCACGCTGCAGACAAAGAAGCTGAAGCTTCTTGGTTGAAAGTATGTCTCTACATAGTGCAACGTGTTGTCATGTAGAGGCACTGAAGCTAGTTCAAACCGAGCAGCATTCTGCAGGGCACAATGTGGTGAAAGAAGAGATACTGGTGTGGGCCTGACTCCGCTTTTCAGAAGACCTCATTCCCTGGCTACAGTGCTGCACAGGTGGGGCTTATACTGTTCCCAGACATAACTCCAGTATCTCTGGATGCTGTCAGGCTGAGCAGGAGATAAGAACCGGAACAGGAGAATAAAAGATGCTTCACCACATGTGGCATTTACCTATTGGCAAGTAATTTTATAGTTTAAGGAGACTTAGTGTTATGCTCCATGAACACAACTATGAAGCAAGCTGAGGTGAAGGTTTGCAACACATTAGCCACTCTGTGGTAATGACGAGCAGTGACTTCTTCTGCAATAAATGGAAAGCAACTTTGGCCTTCAATGAAAGAGGATTAGCTATCAAAAAGTTGCTAGCATGGTACAAAACCAGTGTTTTGCCCTGCCCCATACTGGAACCATATACTGTGTCTTTTGGAAAAGTGAAACCAAATCCAGATTTTAAGTCACAAAGACAAAAACCATACTGGAAATAGTAACCGTTTATCACAGAACGACATCAGGATCTGTCATACCCAACCCAGGAGAAAAAGGGTCACCAGAGGTCCCTGGCAGCTAAGGATTTTAGGAAAACTTATCTATGCAGAGAAGTTTTTTATTTTAAATCTCAGTTCTGCCTCAGATCCTATGAAAGATGCTTTTAATTTGAGCTGATCAGGAAACTACCTTTTCCTCTGGAAAATGTGGATGTCAAAAAAACAGTTTTTGAACAGGAAAACATTTTGATCTAAAGTGTTTGCTGAGCTTATTTCTAACTGATTTCTTTGTTATCAGTGCATAGCTGGATGTTTTCATACATCTCCTAGCAAGCCCGTTCAGCCATGTTGCCATTTATGACCTGAATCAAAAGACTCAGTTCCTCAAACTTCTCTGACTAGCTTCAGACAGCATCTGATCTTTCTGTTTTTAAAGTGAGGTCTCTGCATCTTCACTCCATGCAATTTTCCCACTGACATACCTCCCTGCAAAGGAGATGCAAAAGGCTATAAAGTTAAGATGGCAGCAAGTGTTACAGCCATGACATGGCACAGACAGTGTAAAAGCCAGACACAGGGTAGGCTAAATACATCTAATTAAAGTTTTTTACTTCTCACAGGGGAATGCAGAAGGCATTTGAAAATCATTTGCAAAAGTAGGATAAAATACAAACTATTTTATAAATGGTATCAGTTCTTGGCATTTACACATTTGGTAAAAATTCAGACACATATTTACTTTCCTAGTTTGGCCATACAAGGCATCTTTTGTTACTACCAAAGGAAGATTAGCCCTCAGAAAATCAGTTGTTTGAAAGGGGTATTGCAGCTTGCAGCCTTGGACTTCATCTTGGTGTCAGTAAAATCCTCTTATACTGAGATTGGTACACAGAGGATTATAACTTCATGGAGACTTTATTTTGCCTTTTTGTGGAGGAGCGAGGAAGGAGCAACCAGAGATAAGGGGCTTTTAATGAAAAAAGTTAGATTCCCACACTCCTTGGAAGTTAAACTACAATCGTACAATTAGAGGAGCCATAAAACTGGCAGTAAGGCCTGTCTGCTTTCCTGTGTTTTGGGAAATCAGTCATATAACTAAATGCAAAACAGTTCACAATCTATTTTACCTAACTGAAATGACAACTTACACCACAGAAGGGAAAAAATGAGAACAGAATTTCTTACTGAAGATAATTCCACACTACATTTTAAGGGGAGAAAACTGGGCTCTGTCATTTCTTTTCTTCTTCTGTATGTAGTATTGATATAGCATTGGTGACTTTCTGCGGTGGGATGAGAAGAAGGGAATCAAGCAACAGCTGAGTGTCCGTAAATAAATGAATATAAATTTTAGTTCTAATCACTTAGACGGAGTCTTTTTACATGCAGTAGATGAAAATAAATATGCATTAAAAAACCCCATGTGCTTTAAAGAGCATTGTTATTTCAAATTTTATTTTAGCTTTGTGAGAAGTGAGCAGGAAAGTGGCCCCCTAAAACAGTCCTGATTTTCCATTTATGGATTTTCTTTTCTGAAGAATATGGGAGTTTCCATCCGAGACAACAGCTTTTTAAAGGTGCCTGAAGCAGAGGGATGAAACAGGCCCACACAGAGAGGAATAATTCCATGTTAGGACATTGAATCCAATGTCTGGATATGCCAGACATTCCACTCCCCTGTAAAGTATAAAGCAAACATGCCCAGCCAGTGGCCTGCCTGCCCACCAACTGGCCCTCAGCACCACAGGACTGCCAGAATTGGCAGTGGACCATGGGGTTGATTTGCCAGACTCACAGACTTCTGCAGCTCTGGATGCCCTTGGTACAGGGAAGGTGGGAACACTTGCTTTCATCCAATATACCTGTCTTTTCAATCCTCACCTATCCATCAGGCCAACCAGGAAAGGACATGATAGGTCAAAACCTGTAATGACCTGGATCAGGCTCTCAGGCAACCAGCCAGCTATCCACTGGATGCTTGACAAAACTCAGCCATCTTTACCAAACAACATCCTCCACTGAAAAGCTTTCCACCCCTAGTGCAAAAGGCCTGTGTGTGAGAAAAATTGAGATAGTGCAACAGAAAGAACAGGGACTTGCACTTCATCAAATGCTGACAAAGGTTCACAACTGCCCCAGCTGCTTCTGGTGGCCCATAGATACTACAGGAAGCTCAGCACTGCAGTGGCTTTTCATCTGGTTCTGACAAATCTTCTGGCCATATGAGTGAGGTTTTTCTCTGTTGTGTCTAGTAGAGTTGAATCATACTGTTGTGAGTAACAACAAAATTAAGTCCACAAAAGCCAAGCCCATAGAAGTCTATCAGGTGGTATGCTACAATAGAAAAGCTTCCAGCTATGGGTCCTAGCAACTAGTAAAAGCCAGACTTGGGGAAAAAGTTAGGTTTGGTTCTTATTTATCCATTCTTCAAGGTGAATACCACCGGTAACATCCTACCCTATCAAAATTCCTATCAAAATCAAACTTATGTACACTGATACTCTACTCACTTATTGCAAGAATCAGCTCTCGTCTCTGTGCAAATCCAATAAGTCTTTCTGAGTCTTTTGAAACCACTACTGGAAAGCCATTGTAGTCAGTCTCCTTGATTAGTGTCTCGACATCCTCCACCGTCATGCTGTCCTGCGTCAGAACAGAGAGAGGAGCTTCCCCACGCCTTGGTCTCATGACATCAGTTGCCAGGGTTCGGTGGGTGAATTCATCCTTCACATCCAGAAATGGGTAGCCGTTCAGATGAATGTGAGCTTCATAGATCCCTTCTTTCCCAAAGGCGTCTGCCACCCACTTGCTTGTGACAGCTGCAGCCATAAGAGGTACGATGTACTCCAGGCCTCCAGTTAGCTCAAACATAATCACCACCAGAGAGACCGTCATTCGGGTAACACCACCTGCCAACAAGGAAAGCAGTCAAGTTTCCCTCAGTGTTCTCGAAGTATACATATTAAGCAACTCATTTATATTTTTGAGCCTTACACTCAAAAAAGCATGAGATTATTCATGTTGAGTACTTTTCCCTTATACTTTGTAAAGTGGTTTTGGGCTTATTTCGCTGAAGAAAGAGATTTTTCATCTACTGCAATTTTCATCAAAAGGATTGAATGAACTTGCTCAAGCCAAAGATGCTAACATTGAAAAGCAAATAACGAATGCTAAAAGACTGAGCTATCAAACCAGAAAGCATGCCAAAAAGTCAGCTATACTGGATACCTGAGAAACTAAAACTGAATCCTGCCATCAGCCCTCTAAAATGACTCCAAGAATCAGCTAAGTACCATGGCTGGGCAGGTAGGAGCATTGAGAGCTGTCATTCGCATTGGTTTACCTATCGCATTCATACTGAAGAGAAAGCGAAGCATTATCTTTGGGCATGGCATGGTTACAAAATCCTGTGTAGGGAGTTTAGGGCCACTGCAAGAGCTATGTTACAGCTTAAACACTAGCTTTTGATATCAGTATAACCTACAGTTTGAACTGTATACAACTTGGTTTGGGGCCATCTAGGCATGCAGCTGTAGACAGGGTTGTAGCTGTATTTTTCAATCTAGTCTTTCTGTATTAATTTCATAAGCAAGCTCCTCACTCCTTCAGTTTACATTAAAGGATAAAAATAATCACATAACTGCAGACAAGTACATATATATCGTTGAATTATTAGGTAACATTTCTTTGCCTCTGTTCAAAAGGCAAATGTAATGAATCTGCTATTTTTAGACCTCAAACTACAGTACCATTTTAGATGAGAGAAATCAGAAACAGGTCATTAAAAGCTACTTTTAATCTAGGAGCATACAGGAAAATTAAATTATTCATTATTTAACACGATGATCCGGATATGACTTTCATCTGAGGAATGCCTTAAACTTCTGACTCTGAAAAGCTGAGAGCAGATACCAGAGTAAGGATCATTTAATAATATATCTCTTACTCTAAATGAGACAGGTCTTGGGCTTAAGAACGAGCAGTGACATTCTGCTGCATGTCTCACCATACTGTTAAAACAACTGCACCTTGATTTAGACCTTTTGAAAGAGGAAGTGATTTCTGACTAGCAGATCAACTGGAATATCAGAGCAAAATTTTTGTGTATCATTTCTTTTATGAACTTTAAGATCACTTATGGACAACAGGAAGCACTTCACTCTTTTTGACAGTAAGATTCAACCTAGCTATTTTAAAGTGTCTACACTGCTGTAGGTGTTCACATCCAAAGGGGTGATGCAGATTGCCTTTACAGTCTCCGGAGAAAACCAGGCACTTTTGAGGCCAAAATCATCTGTTCATTTGCCTGATTTTAGATGTCTGTTGCCAGATGAGACTGATCTTTCCAGTATCTCATTTTTCTGTTTTGACTGTGAAGGGTATCAACACAGCTAGCTCAGATGTTGATGTCTACATTACAGATATTACATTTAGACAAGCAAATCCTGCCCTTCCTTCCTCTAGAACAGATAGCACAAATGATCCTACTTTTCTAAATGAAGCTCCAAAACTGAAACTTTTCCAGCTCTTCCCTGAGTACATCTTTCATTTCAAATCTACCAAATTACATTAATCATGTGTTATGCCTCCCCACTATTATTTCATCATCTAGTGACGGTATCAACAACAACAAAAGGATGTAGAACATACAAATAAAGAAGGGAAAAGATACAGTCAGGCAAAAACATATTCAGATGGTATGCTTGTAACATTCCTGTTGCATCTATGACTAGAAATTTGATATGTGAGGTATTATTCAATGATCTTGCTTTAGTGGTCAACAGATCATTCCTGTTATAGCCAATAAATCCTATCGGTTGAATGTAATCAGATCTTGGCCTATGGTCAAAACAAAACCCAAAAGACAGCCCCATTGACTGAAGTGTGGCACACAGCTAAAATAACACCCAGAATTTTTACCTCTGTGTAGCTTAAAATTTGACCAGAACTGGGAATTTTGTTCCCTGCACTGATACAGAACACAGTCTAAACAAGGAAGTAGCATTAGTCCAGCTACAGTGGATTTCATTACATCAAAAAGGGAAAAAAAACCAAGCAAAAACCACTCCTTGGAAACCTGTAGCCTAACTTTAATTTTTTCTTTCCTTCTATGTGCTTTTTGGCAGATTACAAGGAGCAAGCATTGGTGACTGCAAGCTTCTATTTTGTTGACTTCCTGGAAGATCACTGGAGAGGCCATTTGAGTAAGCTCCCCATGCTTTAGCCCATCACATCTATTACATTCAGAAATGCCAGCATAGTACCTAACACAAACACAAAGCCCTCATAAACAACTTGTAGGTCCCCAAACATCAGTGTTATCCATGCATGAAGCAATGATCAGCAAGTACTGTACCCAAGCAAGCTGCCGCTCCCACCATAGCATAAAGTCCTGGCGTGACGCAGTCTGCCCCAGGTCTGCACCAGTTCCTGAAGACAATCCAGTCATGATGGTGATATGCCAGCTGCTCTACTCCGATCCCAACCATCCTGCCAGCCATGGCTCCAACAGCCATGCTGGGAATGAAAAGACCTGAAGGGATCTTGAAAAAAATATAGACACATGAGCACCTTGACAAAAATGACTAGTAATGAACCTATTGAACAGACAGTTTATTATTAGTGGTAAGACACCTAGTTTCCTTATTAAATGCTAGCTCTGAAGGCCATAGCCTTTTGGCAGCCTACAGTGATGTTCCGCATGGTCTGAGATAGGTTTCTGCAGTGACTGAGTTTGTGTGGCCACACGTGTATTAATAGCCTTATAGAATTTTAATACATTTTTTAAAGTAATTTTGAATCCTACCTGCTGCATCATACTGAAATTGATAGATAAATGGTGTTTCTCAATAATAGTCTGCTTTTAAAGTCAAGATGCTTCTGGTTTTGCCTTTATTGCTTTCTCAGAAGGAAGTCAGGAGCTGCTGATGGTTCTGTCATGGGCTTGAGAATAAGCTTAACTGAAAATAACATCTTGATTTCAACCTCTATGACAGAGTGCTTTACAGTTTTATTACTACGCTTTCAGGCTAAATCAGACCAGATTTTAAATTAAATGTCAAATGCAGAATAAAAATTTAGAGAGAGGAGGCTTACTGCTCAGAGGCAGCTATTTCTTCATCTCAGTTTGCTATATATTTTTCAGGAATTTCCGTGAATCATTACCTTGTTGCCTGCTACACAGACAAGTTACAGCTAAAAAACAGGATTGAAATGAAAAAAAAAGAAAATGAAAATTCACTTTGCCTTGCCTAAGTGCATTTCCTCTTAGATGTCAAGTGCACCTGTCAAGTTGGAGACAAATTTCCTGGTGGAGATCAGATCTGTTGCAAGGGCTTGCATGGAGTTTTTGTTGGTTTTAGAGAGGAAAGGTTGTTATATCTTTTTAATTCTGAAAATATACCTTGAGCTTCCTATACAACTAAATGAACAACCTCAGCATGGCCCAGGGGCATCAGGGCTGATAACAGCAGGAGCTACCTTCCCCACTATATAGTGTTAATGTTGTTGATAGTCAGACAGGGCCTTCTAGATTTGACGGGTAAAGCTTTTTTGCCAGTTCTTTTCCAGAACAGATGAAACTGTCAATTGCTTCTAATCAATTTTAAATATATGGAATAAATAAAGAACCACATATCAAACAAAGAACCAAACTCAGGAGTTTTTAGACAAATGAACAAGCATAACAACAACCAGCTGCCAGCCCCAGCACAAATCACTTTCTGCAGGGAAGGGCATCTCATTTCAAGTCCTCCTCCAGAAATGTTACACCTGTGCTTTTAAATTCCCACTCATTCTCCCTGCTCAGGAAATCAGCAGGATTCAGTCACTGGTCCTAAGCGACCTTCTACCATTCAGTAGTTCTTGTCATCAGGGACATCCCAAAAAGAGAAAACATGAAAGAAAAGCAAAACTTCAACAACATCCTACTATTTTGGGGGTAACAGTCCTTCTAGAAGATGGATCCTCAGTTCCAGCTCAGTTTTTGAGAGAAAGATGAGATGCTTTAGCTTTGAGTGTGGCATAACATATACTGTATAACTCAGAAAAGCTTCCCATCATCTGCTGCAATCAGATCCAGGACTAGATGCTCAGATAATGGGAGCTGTAGACAGACAGATATGCGTTTTATAGGGGCTCTAGCAATCAGACATATAAAACTCACCACAAACAGCTTTGCATATATTGAAAGCTTGGATAAATTGTTCTTGGACCTTTCATCACCATTTATGGGGAGGAGGAAGAATGGAAAGAAAAAGTTGCAAATCCAGAATAATCAAATGATACATCTGTCACTCCTCCCACTCATTTCCTTTTTTTCCCCAAGCTACAGTGCTTAAAAAGATTCAAAAGTAGAACTTTTCAGCTACTTTTCTATTTTTGTGAGGTTTTAAATGTGTCAATCAGTAAATTCAAAGCTATTACTTCCCTGAGCATAGCTGCCTTGAGGCACATCAAGACATTAACCCAAGAAGACAAACAACAATGTAAATAGTCCATATCCCTGCGAGAGCTGAAAGACAGCCACAGTGGGAATCATCTTGAATTTGCTTATTGGCAAGAATTTAAATTCACACCCAGGTTTCTTTTTCACTTAATAAAACTGCAGATGACTAGAAGGTGGAAAAGTAGGGCTCATCCCTTTGCTGCGACAGGGGCCCGCAGAGCAAGGTGCTGGCTGGGGGGTGAGCCAGCAGGCATGTCCACTACACCTCTGTGGCTGGGTGTAGGTCAGAGGCCCACAAGCCCTGCCAGAAAGACCACAGTTGCTGATGGCAACCCATCTATGCAGTGTGCTCACGACAGTTTCTCTGCCTGTCCCCAGTTTACCTTCATGCCAAAAGTGAATATCGTGATGACAATTTTAAACACCAAAGCCAAGGCGAGCTGCCACATGGCAGTGTAGACTCCAGGACCAGCAGGTCTGTCGGGAATATCATCCACCGGCCGGGTCATGTTTGGGTCATTGATATAGTCGCAGAGCTGTGAGGACTCCAGGGCACCGCAGTCATTGAAGAGCTCCGAGATCAGCTCACTGGTGCTCCTCCGGGTGTAGGGGTTGGGGTAGGCGATGATGGCGGTGATAGCTGTTATCACTATAACCTCCAGGACTGGGTATTTCCCCAGTCTGGTGGTTTTTCGCCTCCTGCACCAGGCGATGTTGCATCGGATAAAGAGGGTCCCCCACAGGCCGCCGAAGACACCGAGCAGGATGAAGGGGAAGAGCTCAGCCATGTACCAGGGGGTGTGGTACTCCACGTAGAACAGGACCAGACGGCTGTTTCCAAAAGGATTGATGGACCTCAGCGTGAAGGCAGCCACGAGAGCAGCAAAGAATGACCTCCAGAGGGTTTTTAGAGGAAAGTAGTAGCTGACCTAAAACCAAGCAGAGACTGTAAACACTTCACTGAGTGTGACAGAGGGTGTTTGCTTTAATTATTCACCAGAGCACTGTGCACAGTAAGCCATTGCTGTGTGTTTCATCTGTCACCCTACATCTGGCTTTACTGGGAACACCAGTCCTTACCGCAGCCAGGACATGTTCACAAAGGTATCAGAAAAGGCATTTTCAGATTTCAGATAGGGAGCAGCAACCCGTGAAATATTGATAAATCTAAATACAAAGTTGCTGGCTAGACACAATGAGATGGGTGCTCAGCAGCTCGGCCCATGCAGCACCATGGCGAAAGCTAGAGAAAGCTCAGCACAGTGATACACTTCCAGATTACACAATTTTGTTTGTTTCCAGAAAGCCAGTGCTCTTCTTTTACTCAGATTATGCTAAAATACCTGGCTATTTCTTATTACTAGAAATCAAAGATTATTTTTGCTTTAGAAGAAAACTAAGCATATAAATACTTGAAAAATAAAGAGGAATATTAGAAAAAGGCATCAGTTGAAAGTATATTTGTTGAAGCAAGTGAACTGCCAGGTCTCACCTCTTCCAGACTGAAAAGCACACCTCCAATCGGAGCCCCAAAGGCAACAGAAACTCCTGCAGCAGCTGCAGCCGAGAGCACCTACAAAGCAAATATTTATGTACAAGGCATGAGTCCTTTGAAACACCGAGTATCTGGACAGGGAAATTAAAGGTGATGTGAGCCAACCTCACCTCTCTCCTCTTCCCTTCATTCTTGCTGTACTTTGAGAAAAGGCTGCTGAAGAAGTTTCCGCAGCAACAGGCCACGTGGACTAACGGCCCCTCTTTCCCAAGGCTGAGGCCTGAAGATACCACCAGAACCAAGGTGACTGTTTTGATTAAAAGAGTCCACTTTCCCAGGTAGCCCCTAATAATGAACCCACTCAAGATGGTTTTTATCTGGAAAGCAGGAAGAACATATTGAAGAGCTGAAGAAACCTTTTCTACTCTGGAGTTAAACCCCAGCAGAGTTAAAAAAAAAAAAAATCACAGACTGCTTGAAAAGAGACAGTGATGAAGAGAAAGAAACCGTAGGTAGGGCAACTTTCCCACAGTGATAGCTGAGCAGGGGTTAAGCAGACCGCACTTTTACTGTTCTTATGGGTGGTCCTGTGCGCTGGTAAGGAGTCATACAGAGATCAATAGAAATACGAAACTGTGACATATCTCCTTGGCTTACAGGATCAGAGTTAAACTAGACCCAACTTTAACAAAGCAGAAAAAAGCAAATAAACAACCACAGACTTTTCCCAGTTAAAACAAGAAAAAAAATGTTGTAAATATTTGGAATGGCCATGCCATAAAAGCATGCAAGTATTATGAAATGAGAAAGTCCAAGAGACCTTATTTTTACACATTTCCTCTTAATTTTGCATGTGAGTGGCTAGACTAGAGCACAATGCACGTGCATGACACACAGGCTGCAGGGTGGGATTTGGGTTTGGACTCTGGCCCTGGAAATGGACTGGAGCTAAACATCACCTCACAGGAGAGATTTACCACTCAGAAACCAGATTTACAGTTAACTATGAAAACTTTTTAAAAACACTTACAGATATATCAAATATGTAATGAACACACACGTGACTACTTTGAAACATGGAAATGATTAAATATTTCAAATTATTTGTGGTGGGTTTTTTTTTCCTGATTGGCTATGAAACAATTGGATGCTTCTTCTAGAGATGAAGAAAAAAAGTACTCCCAGATTTCTCAAATTTGGGCTGTTGATTCTGTCTGCCATATTCCTAAGTAATAATCCCAGTGGTTCTATAGCACTTTTAACAAAAGACTGCCCCGATTTCAAAAATTTTAAGTAGCTATGCTGCTTGAATTACAGGGTTCCTCATTTTAACAGCTTAAATAGGGACTGAGGCTCAATATGAAAAATATTGAAAACCAAGTAAAGGTTTTGGCTGCCATAATGCTCTCATGCCAGCATAAAATTGTGTGCAAGGACAGAATTTGCAGAAGATGGACAGCCAGACACTTTTCAGGCATCCCAAATGACGGACATCTAGCATCTTCAGTAGCTTAGGAAACCTTACCTTTGTAGCCTTCCCTCTTTATTTTATTTTGGTTTTATTTAAAGCCTAACCTAGAAAATGACTGGCTTTGTAACTGTCCCAAGTAATTTCATCCAAGGAAAATTCTATATAATCTTCTAGTATGTGCTTCAGCCACAAAAACTTGGAGTCCATAAAGTGATGACTGGGAGCTGTTGATTTTTAATTCAAGCTCTGGTAATGAAGAAGTATGTACATTAATCTGTCACAGTGGCATTTGAACATTTTCTACTATGAAAAATTTAGATGGGCACCTAAAAGGCATGTTAGACAAAGGAATGAAGGCAGATGAGATGGAAAGACAATCTTCTTGATCCTATGCTATCTCATAGTACAGTTCTGGAATGGGAGAAGGCAGCAAATTATCTTTTCTTGGTTTTGTTTGGTTTTTGGATAGTCATCCACAAAGAGAAACTCACCTCTGGGATTCCAGAGCCACAGGCATAGGGAGCAAATACTCTGACCAGGGAGACTGCCAGGAAAGCAAAACATAGAGCCCACATAATGTATAGAAAATAGTTTAGAATGTAAGCACTTGCACCCTAGAAAAATAACAGTAACAAACATTGTTAGACAAATGCAGGTTGGTAAATCTCACGCTTCTACTAGTGATCATGAGGGCATGGAGCCTGGTCTTTTCATTTACATGCTAGGTGCTGCTTTTCCTCAAGAAGGACAAATGGCTTTATATACTCCAACAATTTTATTACTCCTGGAACAAAGCAGCATACTAACATATACCTAACCCAGTCCATACAGTCTGTTTGCAAGGGACCCAAACACCTTAAACAGAGCATCTTTTAAGCACTAAAAAATTAAGTTAACTACAAAAAGTTCCAAAACGTCAAACAAATCTGTCATAAAGGCAAAAGTAATTGGTGATAAAAAAGCACCTAATGAAGGAATCTGCTGTTTCATCCCACGGTGGGTGACAGGGGATGAGACCCTGATACATCTTTTTCTGAGGGCTGGTATTCAAAGCTCAGCTCTCCAGGCAGATGCCGATCTTTTCAAACAACATCCCTGTGTATATCAGTAGCCAGTTTGGTTCACAAATGGGAAGGGTAAAATCATAAATAAATTATTTCCTTTGATATGATGCTATCTATGATAGGGTTGAAAATCATTTGAAAAGACAATAACTTGGCAGATCCCACTCAGACACATCTCAGTCATTTTTGCCCTGATACATTAAAAGCATTCCAGTCAATAATAAAACCTATCTTCAAAGTGAATATCTTTACTGACAGAATGGAAATGCTAATGATCATTAGCAATGGTTGACTGTGCAGTGCCATAGTGAAAGCATAGTCAGTAGTCACCTTCAAGCTTTCTACCTGTCTCTAATGGTCAAGTCAAAACTGTTGTTAAAATTGGCCTTAGAATACCCTTCCCTCCTCACAGGCATAATCTTTTAGATTAATTTCAAAAACCCCACCTACACAGACAAAAGAGAATCTAGTCAGAGGCATCAAATTGACATAAGGAGCTTAAGCCTTCAAACAAACTCCTCTAGCAACGTATCACTACAGAATAAAAAACAAGATGAACCTCAGCGCATGAATTGGTATGAATCCTTCACCTCTAAGTGAACTCTTCCTACCGGATGCAATCCCAGCTGCTCAAGAACATCGGGGCCCCTGTCTTTGCTCTGCAGGACAGCAGCCTGGATATCAACATTATGATAAATCAAGTAGGAAAACAGGCATTAATCAGTTGTATCGTGTCTTCAGTTAACAGAGCTGGCCAGGCCCAGTTCCCAGTCATAAAAAAACTAGAGCTGAGAAGTCTCCCTGTTTGCAAGCCTGCAAGGAATCAACTTTTAATGGTATGAGTGCTTGCTAGCCTCATTTTCCAGGTCTCTGCCCAATTGAAAAGACAGTAAGAGAGCCACTGCCCTTGTCCTTATGGATATATTTGGAAGAAGGGCAATTTGTTAAGGTCCTCTTGTGCTTGCTGAAGTTAGCAGATGGCGTTGCTGCTAACAGCAGAAGAGCAATACGATGCCATCCCCCAATGCCCTGAGACTAAGAAGTCATGGATCCCATGCTTACAGTGATTGACATCTGTCTGTAGTAACCATGGATCTTTGTTGCTACAGCTGAAGACGGTCTCATTTCCTCATGAATGTCTTCTTCGAGTGCTTTCAATTACAAACAGCTATGGCAATATTTACTCATCCTCTAGAGAAAACTCTGGATATGTTGCCCCAGGGCAAAATTCTCCTGTCAGTGTGAACGTGGAGTAACTCCAAAGAAGACCAACGCCGTCACAGCAATTTGGCCCTACAATGTTGAGTGAAAGCTATGTTTTGCTTCTAAATTCATTAGAGTCAAATTAACTTTGTTTCTTTTTACTTCCTCTTCTTTCACACCTCAGAAGTCACATGAAAACTATGTCATCTTGTTACTGCAATCACAAATACACCTACAGCACTGTGGCAGGACCCCAGAAGAGTCTATATGGCCAGTTCAGACTTACCCCTTGGGACAACTCTCATTGTTACATTTTCCAGATATCTGGCATTCTGCAGGTCCAATTGCAGGAGTTTCTAATGATTAATAATAAGAAAAGCTTTGGGAAGTGAAGTAGTAGTAACTCAGTATAGCAAATGGTTCATTTCTCATTCATTACATGCCATTACTAAGGCCCTGAATCAGTAAAAGTCTCAAGCACATACACTGGAATCAGAGACCAAAAACGTTCATCAGCAGAGATGATTCTGCCAAGACCTTTTCCACTAGTGGCTCATAGGACTCACCCTGGCAGCAATAGTAATGGAGCATGCAGGAGAATTGAGCAAAACTTTGTATTTTAGTTTGCAAGACCTAGCAGTATTTCAGATCTAGTGTCAGTCCAATTTAGGTAAAAATGGAGCACAACTGAAAACAACCCTCACAAACTCAGTATGCTGAAATAAAACATATCCCTTAGGATGCCATCCATGGCTGACCAATGCTTGTTTTCTCCAGAGGTGGAGAGCTCTATTCTGACTTGACTTGGGATCTCACAGCTTGCAGACTCCCTCCGGTGGACATTCCAAGTTGGGAAGTGGGTTCCAGGTGTAGAGGGGCTTCCTTGTCTTGCAGGTCTCAGCTTCATGACAGGAGATGCAGAAGCCCTGGGATGGGAATCCAGTCCATTGCTGGATCCAGTGTCACCAGCCATGGAAGACACAGGGCCCTTTTTCCTCTGCTTTGCATAGATGTGAGGCTCCAGAAATGGGGTCCTCAGCTCCAGTGAAGTTGAGGTTAGGACCAGCCTGGATCTGCAGAATAGGGAAGCTCCAGGTCACCAGATATTGGCTAGTGATCTAGCTGAAGGGGATGGCATCTGATATGCTTTAACACACCCACTCCCAGTAAATTTGAGGTTTTGAAACCCTCTTGCATCAAAAAACTCTTCACCTACTCTTTGGTAGCAGTTCAGGACCAGAGGGATGAAGGTTATCATTGGCCTACAAAACAGTGGTTAGGGAAGAAAACATAGCCTAGTATGTTTCAGATGTGCTATTATGTTTTCCATAGTAATTTATAGCAAGACTCTGCTTTGGGCTCATTTTATAGGAGGACTAGAAAACGTTTTTCAAGAGATGCTATAGGAAATGTCACAATTCTCAGTGAGAACATATGTACAGGGTTTATCACAACCATATATGGGCAAAACCACAAGGAAGAACTGATCTGAGTTTTAGTCCTCAAAATGTCAAACTGAGTTGTCTACAATGACAAAGAGTCACAGGCATGCATAAGAAAGAAGACACATCCGACCAGAGTACCTTTAGGGAAACTGTTCCAAGGACTGTCTAAAATGTGCTCAAAATTAGTCCTTCTGTCCACTGTGTATTTTACAGGGCTGTTACCCAAATATCAGGCACAAAATGAAGCAACATACAAAAAAAAAAAAAAAAAAAAAGGCAAAATTATCCTGAAACGTAGTCAAATTCAGTGTATTTTGATCCCTCCTACAGTCCTCTACAGCTCCAGGAACCATGCAAACTTGCCCATATCATAAGCCTTTTGCTGCAAACCAGAATTTTTACTTTCCATATTCACATTTTTGTTGGGCTTTGCCTGGGATTTCAATGTAACAGTAATGGACAGCTGTATTATTAATATTTACAGCATCGATCAGGCCATAGCAGCCAGAAGCCCACAGATCTTGGAGGCCCATTTGTTTTGAGAAGAGCGTAAAACCAAGCCAAGATTAACCTTTTTTTTCCACTGTGCCACTATACAAGGGGGTGAGAAGCCCAATTTGAATACAAAGTGAGTAAAGTTTCACAGTGCCCACCCTGCTGATACCTTTCTTATCGGCCCCAGCATACAACAGTCATGACTGCTGATTTCGAGTAGCAGGTGAAAGCAATAAATTTCCTCAAGGATATGCCCTGTTCATATATCCCAGCCTTTCAGAGTAACAGAATGTCAAACACATGCACAGGATTTCCAAATCCCATAACAATTGTAACATTTTCCTCTTTTTTCCCTTCCCACATTTTTTTGTTCTCTTAAATTACAACATCGTCCCCAGTCCTGCAACTTTATACCAGGGTAATATTTCTTCACTGTTACAAAGACACAACCACCCAAGCCATCTGTTGATGAAGACCAACGTGAACCTAGCAAACTTCTGGCAAAGGGAACTGTGGACTGGCAACTGTGCAGAGAGATTTGTGCCTGCGATCAAATGGCGGGAATATTCAGGAACAGTGAGCACCCCTCTACTTTCACTACAGTTAATTAGAACTATGGAAAACTGGGCTATACATATTCACAGATGCTCTCATCTGGTACTACTTGTGCTGTAAACCTAAAGCGGCAACTGAAGGGAATGTGAATGACAAACTTGTGCGGCGATGAACGCGCCCTCAAATACCTTCTGCAGGATGAGACCACCTCCACACTGGGGGAAGATTCGAGACAATCTCTCCAAGTCACCCACTTTTTAATTGCTTGGCTGGAGATGGTTTCTCCCATAGAAGTGTGTATTTTCCTCTCCTATTGTTGACCAAACTGCATTACCAGATATTTTTTTAAAAGCCCCATTACATATTTAGGCCAGTTCTCTGCAAAGCCACGTTCATCCCACCCCCATGTCATATTCAATTTTTGTCATATTCAAGTCATCTGTAGAAATGGTGGGGAGGGGGGAGTCAGGACAATAATTCTGCCAAAAAAATTCAAGTTGTGAAGGGATCAATATTATTCAATACTTTGAACAGCTTAGGTTGAAAATAAAATGTCCTTTTCATATTTTTTATAGAAGTATCATCTGCTAAAAGGAGTACAGAAAGGCTTCTTCTGATGTCTTCAAAGCAAAACTTTTACCTGCTTTGCTTTGAAACAACATTCTTTGTATTTAAAATTACTGCAATTAAAAAAAAAAAAAAAAAGATAGGAAAAAAGTTCTTAGTATGTAAGCTTCATGTCAGTCCAGATCAGCATTTTCCCTTCCTGTCCTCTCCCCCTGCAAATTTTTCACTTTGGCCATCTCCCAGGGAGCACATTATTTCCCCAGCTTTCGGCACTAGCTAAATATTTTGCTATCTGATAGAGAAACTGATTGCAAGGACATAATAAGCCATTCTTACACAGCTCCCACTACTACTCACAGTATTTGAATACATAAAAAGCATCTGCAATCCTGAAAATTTCCTCTTAAATGTATTTGGCAGGGATCATCTTTTTCGTCCCATAAAATTGTGTTTAAAAGAAAAAAAAATGGATAGCAGCTCAGGTCCCCTGGTGATTATGTTATGAGTGTTATGAAACACTTTTGGTTTAATACTGATAAAAAGAGAGAGCGATCTCGCAGTTTTCCAATTTCCATCGCACATGACACTGAAACAATAGGACCTCTCCCAAGTTAAGCAGATATTGCTTGTGGAAATGTCTTTTTTTTTTTTTTTCCAGCGTTCTCAGTTCATTACTTTCTCTTGCAGAGAAACTCTCCGGAGGGAACATCAGCAAGTATGAAAAAAGGGCATTCCTTGGCCTGCCGTGACCCCAACCTAATCAGGTCTCCCGTACCTCAGACTGGCTTACAAGAAGTTCAGACCATTTCTGCCACTGGGGACATTTGTCCCTGTCATCGAATGTAGTTTCATTAGACGTCCAGCAGCACTGCTCGTGGCTGTACCAGAAGGCAGACAGGCAGACACCCTCTTTCAGGTCTGTCATCCAATCCACAGCTAAATCTATCACTCCGGCTAATGTGCCTGGAAAAAGAAATGCAGAAAAAGAAACCGAGGCATTAAAAAATACAAAGTCACAAGGAAAATATAGCAACAGCAAAAACTCATGATTTGGGGAAGCAGCTGCAACGTAAGCATGAACCTAAACGATTCTACGATTCTATGATTCTATGAATATGCCAAACACATGGGGGTAACAGTGAGTTTGCAAAGAAACAGCCACACCAACGTGTTGTCTGACCTTCAGTGTTCTCTCAGGAAGCTTTTATTTTAAATGTTATCATATTCATACTGACCGATTCCCAAATAGGGAAGGCATAACTGATGCAGGGCCTGATCCTGCAGTCTGTCCCAGGCAGGTGCACCACTGACTGCGATAAGCAGGACTTCGTGCGGGGTCTCTATACGCATACTAAGCTGCAGGTCTCAACCCACGCCGTATTTCCGGGGTAGGGGCGGAGGAGGATACGTATGTTTTCCTATAGCCTTACTGGTCCTAACGCAGCAACCTTTTCGAAGGGTGATTGCAGTACAGAAACAATATGGATGCCAAATTCTGACTTACCAACTTAACGGAATCGGGTTCTGGATGTGTACCTTGATTAGCAATCCAAACACGCAGAATAAAATTATCCTTCAAATCCTCTCTGTACCAAACAAACCCTTATTCCAGTTTTTCCCCAGTAATTACACGGAGCTACAGTGACACCCGGTGGCCACCGGACACAGACAAGAGAAAAATTGACGTGGCCTTATACAAAACAGAAGATCCTGCTTTTCTAGGGCATTTGCTCATGAGCAACGATACCCTGCCCCTGCCCCAGCACCAGCACCCGCAGCGCAGATGCGTCCTCACGAACGCAACACCAGCAGCAACGGGGAGGCTGGGAGCAGCCAGAACACAGAAAGGCAGACCTGCCTTCAGTCCCTGTGTCCATAGTTTCTAGAAGGCATTAAACCACCAACTTATAAAAAAGTCATTTACTGTTTTCCAAACCCCTCTTGCGTACAATGGAAAGTAGAAGTCAACAACATTTTTACTGGTAAGCATTAATACAATTTCAGGAAACCGGCAATGAATTTGAACAGAATTCATCAGTGCATTTCAGTAGGACTAAAACTGAAAAAATGTTTTGGAAAAATGCAAAATGGCTTGGTTTTATATTTCCAAAATTTTTAGCTTTGTGGCTCCTGCTAAGAGTGCAATTATGTGAAGCAGGGCTGGGGGCTGCTCCCCTTTCCCCTAGCAGCTGGGTTCAAGAGCTGGTTTATTTGACCTGGAACTAAAGTTTTCTGCTTTTCATTTCTGTGAAAGAGGAAAGAAAATTCAGGTAATTCTGGCATGTGTAACCTGTTTTTTATTCCACAGAACAGAAAAACCCCACAACTGTTCACAGAGCCTTACACATAAGCATGTCTTCTCGCTCTCTTAAGAAGGATATTTGTCACCAGACTATCAAGCGATGTGACTCGGCTAGCAGTGAAGAATTTTAGTTGTATAGGAATAATCTGAAGAAATATACAGATACACTAGACAAGATCACAAAAAAAGGCTGCAGCAGGGAGTAATGATATAGGTACCAATTATTTTATTTCATGAAGACCTTGGCTTGCTCTTGCTTAGCCTTTTCCATTTTCCCAAGCTTCTATGGAAACAATGAACCATATTCTTAGATGATGATAAATCACTGTGTTGCTACTAACATCAACGTGCGTAGCTTACTGAGTTTTGCAGTAAACTGTAAATTCTCCTCCAATTTTCTGAAATTAAACTTTTTAGTTTCATTTAGGAAATAGTACAAAAAATCCTCAGCCCTTGGCCACGAGCACCAAATGCTATGCCTCTTATATCTCTTGATGGACCTTTATCATCCTCTGCAGTTACGCCAATCTTCAAAGCTCAGATCACACTTAATCAGCCAATTGAGTATTAATGCTACCTAGCAGAAGGTGCAAAGGAGGGCAGGCTTTTGATTGTTTTTCCCCAATAAAATTAATAAACAGAGTGAGGACCAAACATTCCATTCTCTAATAACAAGCTCACATGCACCACAGCGCCTCTAGAAAAAAGAATCCCTTTTGCCAAATGCTTTGGGATCCACATGAGGAGAACGTTACATGCTCTACAGAGAAGAAAATCTTGCAGGGTAATAGTGCAATAGTTAATGCTTCACAAGCCAAGTCACAAGGGCTAGAATTTTTCCAAGTTTTGAATCTCTGCAACTTTAAGTGAAATTAATAGAAGCTGCAGTGTTCAGCATCTCAGAAAGTCAAGCCTTTAATTTCTGGTGCTTACCATGGCTGTCTAGACACGTCACTGCACCTCTGCAATATAGCAGAAGTTTATTTGCCTACTTCTCCATCAAAGAAACTGAACTTGTTCCCTCTTCTGTGTAACCTCCTGCCCAGAATGAAAAATAATGAAGCACTCCAAAGCCAGGAAATGCTGAACTTCATTTTAGGTGTTAGCCTTTCACCTCTCCTTCTCTTTTGGTTGATGATGGCCAGTACTCATCCTTCACAAAGCCCTAATGAGAATGCTAAAAATTTGCTTTGAAAACATATTTTTCCCAATGCATCGGTGCCAGAAAACTGCATCACCCAAGTGACATGGCACTGAATTACAAAGGGGATTTTTGCATATCCAGCTCCAGTACTGGAGCATTTCAGTATTGGTACAATAGCCCTTTTTGTCACATAGCTTTAGAAAACACAGACTCTTTTGCTAATCTTCTGTAAATAGCATATACCTTCGGTTGGCTAGTAATGGTTAGGTTGAGGGATGCCCACTGGTTTGTAGGCAGGATGGGCAAAGTAAAAACTCAGAATTCCTTGAAAATGAGTAACTAAAAATTTGGCTCTCACACCAAAAATTTTTAGGCTCATTTCCCCATACATTGCTTTGTACATGAGTGAGGGCTATTGCCAAATGGGATGGTCCTCTCCTTCCTCCCTCTATCAGCATCTTTCTGTCAGCAATATTTTGATTGCTTGCAGCCCTGTGGTGACCAACCCTGCTGAGCCTGCCGATCAACTGAAAACTAATCTGGCCAAAACCCATCTTTTCCGCCAAGCCAGTTCCCAGATCCACCTGCCCTGTGCAGCTGCACATGCACAAGGCAACAGGGTCTGATGGCAGGGACATGGGAGAGCAGAGATTACTACTTTTGGCCACATCAGCTTGTGCTGGCTGTGGAGGTGCAGCCTTTGACGTGTTGCAAAACCTGAAAGAGTCAGTTGACCAAATCGGTGGTATTTAGGCTTCTAGATCAGCTACGCTCACTGTAGACTCCTGGGCCTAAGCAACTCTTCCAAGCGTCTTTGGAAACACGTGGAGGCCCCTGCCATCCCCTTCCTCAGGAGTCCCACCTTGCTGCCCTCCATACCCATCAAGGGGGCAGCAGGGGCAGGCTGTTCCACAAGACTATCACACCTAGATGCTACTCCTGCTGCTTTCCCTCTCCTCTCCCACTCCCTGCCACCCCCTCTGCTTGCCTCTGTTGATGCCTGGACTCAGCTGCCCAAAAGCTCTCCCAGTGTCTGTGCAGCTGAGCCAGGCTGCTCCCTCTGCCTGTTCAGCAGGGGAAGAGAGACCATGGAGGATGCAGGCTGGTCCACGCAACCCCGTGTGACTGTGCAGGTGCCCTCGGGGCAGGCTGCCTTCTCTGAGCAGGCGATATTTCAAGTAGAGAAGGAAATGACATGAAGTGCCTCTTGACTGCACCACTAACCTCACCTCCTCCCTCCCCAAACCTGGTTAAGAAACCTCATCCACTCATCAATAATCCCCCCACTCATCAAAGGCGTGTTGACCCCTCGCTGAGGCTGAGATGGTGACTCTCCATCTTTGCCCTGTCCCAGAAACACTGGAGGCACAGAGCACATGTGTCATTTCAATGGGAGGCAGAAAAAGTCTACAGAGTTCAGCCCAAATCATGAGCACACAGGTAATTTTTGTTCTCCGGATGATTCACAAGTCCTTGCCCCAGTTTAAAAACAGATTAATTTGATTTGACTCTGAGGTAAAATATGTTGCAACCTTGTCATTGAAAAGGTTGCAAAAGCTAATACAGCAGCAGCTTACCCTCCATCTCTGTTCCCAAGCTAGACGTACCAGCATTAGAGCTTATCATAGGTCAGCAACTCTAGCTTTCAACAACCTTGAGGATTTCAGAATAAGGTTTCATTGCAAACTGGAACTGAAACAAACATACTGTGATATTTTTACTGAAATGGAAATGAGTGAATGTATAGCACATTGTCTGTATGAGGTTTACTGACCAGCTTGTGGGAGGTCACTAGAGTCCTCAAGGACTTGCTCTAACTTTATTTGCAAGCAGGATTTTCCATCCCAGATGAGGCCAGCTCTGGCCTTCAGACAGGGTTCAGCAGCCCTGGTAGTACATGGTCTATCAGACTCTCCTCCCATTTCACATTTCCATCAAAGCTTTTGTGAAAACAAGTATATCTCTATGAAAGAATATAATTTGCCAAAAATGTCACTTCAGCAACATTTTCTCAAGAATTTCCCCAGTACTTCTGAGGCTCCTGAACAAATTGTAATAAACTTATTAACTTGACAGTTGGTCAGCAGGATATTCACACCATTTGGAAATTGTGAAACTTTACACCATGCTTTTACCAAGCAGCGTGATACAAGAGCACCCTGACATCACTGAAAAAGCATAAAAAATGGCAGCTGTTTCAACTTGGTAATACAAGTACAGCTTTCCAAGTTGGAAGATGTGCTAAACTGAGCAGAAGACAGGAGCAATTTGGGAAATTAATGAATTTGCCATCTGAGTTTGAGCCAGCTGTTAAATATGTAATGTCTGTCTGGCCTGGAAGCAGATCTGAAGCTGAGTCTGAAACCGTATTTTCCCTTCATGCATATATAAAGACAATAACCTGGTGGATATAGCAATTTACAAAGCTCTGCTTTGAGAGTCCACAACCAACACTTTCCCCACAACATACTATGTACTTGCAGAATTAAAGTAAGTGAAGACAAGAAAAAAAAAAAAAATCCTAGCAACAAAATTGACTTCTGTGAATCAAAGATTCAGAAAGTCAAAGTAGTCCATTGAGTGTAAAGCGCTCAGATGCGTATTTCCAAAAGCAACAGAAAAATCCCTCTACTGGAGAATAACATTTTTTCTAGGTCAGCACTCAGCAGGACACTTTGCAAGTGGGTATTTTTATTAAGCATTATAACTGCATGGATACATAGCTGTCTTTTTAGCTTGAAACATCAATGGAGAGACAATGAAGTAAAAAGAGAAGCAGATGGCACTGCAGCAAATGGGTGAGATAGCGTTACAGTTATGCCCAGAACTAACACACACGTACCTGCCAGTAGTCCTATGAGAAGCATTACAACCCATCCTGACCAGGCATCCAGCAAACTCTTGATGAACTCCCATATGGATTCCTTACTTTTGCTTGTAATCTGAAATGAAACATATATATATAGATATGTTGCTGATTCAGGCTGACATAGTTTTAGTGTATAATGTTTAAAACGAAAAATTTTTAACATCCTAGAAGATGTATATAATTTCTCTACTCTCTACTCCCCCCAGTCCAAATCACTTTTCAGAGCTGCTCTGCCAATTAAGTTGCTGGAAGCCCTTTCATATTTACAAACTCAAGACATACCACATCCATATTTTTAGAAATCCTCCTCAAGTCATACAACAAGGTAGGAAGCTATAAATTTGGAAAACTGCTTGTTTTCCTCACCACCAGCATGGCTGTAACCCAGGGATTGCAAAGCATCAAAGCCGAACACCTTTACCTTTCTATGGCGGTCAGTGTCACGTGATTTCTCCCGCAGCCAGTCGATGGTGTGGAAATCTTCGTAAGTCCCAACGTCGGGGAAAGGCTCGTCCAGAAAATCCATCAGGTTGCCAGAACCATTCATGTCTCCTGCATTGACCATATTAGGGTCTATATGTAGAGGAAAAGCAAGTATGTCAATAAATTCATGCAGCTTTGCCAGACATTTCAGAATCAAGTTTTCCAAAGTACCTCCAACAAACCACGAAGTCAAGAGAGCATGAGTCAGTAGTCCTGGTGGGCACTTACTGAAACCTATGCACTGCCACTAGAAAAAGTATTTCGCTGAAGATTACTTCAACAGCTTAGCAAACCCTAAAAAGCACATACAAAAAGCACAGTGTCCAAGTGCAGAAATACCAGCTTTCCTGAAAACAGAGCCCCAGAACCCAGGATGTTTCTGGGCTTTTTCTGCAATGATACATCCTGATCACATGTCGGAAGAAGTTCCCTGCCTGCACGGAAGTTATCAAGTAGGCAAGGTCACCAGCTCAGAAAACAAATGATAATACACTGGAATTTACCATTCATCATGAACTGCAGATTTTACATGGTGCCATTAGTCATAACACTGCAGTGTCATCTAGTTTTGCATGCTAGGAGTAGGACTGTTCTTGGAAGAACCTGAGTGGGTACCTTCTGTCCCATACACAAACTGTCCAGATTTGCTTTTAAGAAAGCAGGGGAAGAAACAGCCACCACATGCCCTGCTAGAGCACAAGAGGAAATACAAAGATACCTATCCCAAAACTATAACAAGCAGTTACCAGAAGCATTTGATAGTTAAAAAGGAGATGAAAGTAGGCTGTGAAATAATATACACTCCAGAGTGTGGCACACAGACTGAGTGGACATTTTCAGCCCAGAAGTTTTTGGGGACGTGCTCTCTGGGTTTACAGACTACAGATATGAAAGCAGAGAAACATCCATGTAGGCTCTGAAGCCCTGGGAACTATACCTTGTTCATGCAATCCACATAAGCAAAGCATGAAGAACTCATAACCACCGTACCTCTCTTTTCCACAGAGAGCTCAGCAACATCTGGCTAGGTGTAAAAATGACTGTTACCTCCTTCAAAGGTCAGGTCCCAAAGTAGTCACTAACATGACAAGCTCCAGAAATGGCTGACATCATTCCCGATGAGAGAAGCCTTTAGTAGCATGAGAATCTATTAAATGAAGCAGTTTAGGCACATAGGGTTGGATTCATCCAACTTAATTTCAACCATCTGAAAGTTTGGTGTTTGGACCATGAGAACCACCTAGGCTACCTCTAGAGACAGAGAAAGGTGGTGTAAGGGCAGCAGAGTGCCTGATCCTTTAAAGGTATCTGGTCAAGGACCTTTTTCAATGCAACAAGGGATAATAAGAAAAGGAGGGAGCCACGAGCAAGAACATACAGGGACACAAACCTGATGCAAATGATAAGGGAGGCGGTGATGGGAACCAAACCTGGTCAGTCACCCTCACTGATGAGGGCACTTGGGAGCATGAGAATGTCTATTCCAGCGAGGCTGTCTGACTGGGGACCTTGTCAATTGGGAAACTGTGGAAAAAGGGGGAAACCAGAAACAAAATACACAGAGACACAGACCTGGCAAAGCAAACATGGAGATAGTGTCAAGAAACAAACCTCATCACTCACACTAACTGAAGGGCTATTAATTGTGTATGCATCTCGAGATACATGCTCAGCTCTGCTACTGGTTGAACCTGCACATGGAAAAGTGCCAGCCATGTCCCCCAGAGTGGGCAGAGACCCCGGGTCCATGGGCCGGGCTCCAGTGGCTGGGCAGGAGGGTCCTGGGCCACGGCAGCTGGAGGAGGCAGCCGTGCGCTTCTACTTCACTTTGAACAAAGTGTTGCTTTAAAGAGCGATCAATCCCATCCGTTCTAAAATAGGTGCTGGGGAAATGGGGTCTTCCAGAGAGCGCCTAGGGTTTGGAATCTGAAATGGCAAGCCTAAAATAAACAGCTATCAGGGGGTTACAAGAAAAAAAAACACATGAAAACCCATAAGAAAAAATGGGGACAGATACAGACTTTAGGGGTTTTATAGAACTGACCCTGCAGAGCCTGTAGCTCCTTGACAGACACAAGGTAACTTTTGCAGGTCACCAATGAGGCTAGCATGGTACTAACAGCTGCTACCCACTCTCCTCCATCCGGTATGGAAACGTGGATTTCACGAGTAAAGAGTTTGGATTTTTGACTCTATGAGGAAATCTCCCAATTCTGTAATCAGAACAGGCAAAAACGTGGCAGATGATAAACTTTTCATCAACTGTCCACAAACTCTGCTGCTCTTCTCGGCCCCCTTTATTTACTGCCTTTTTTCTCCCCTCTCTCCATTTTCAACTGTTTTACTTGAATCCTCTCCATTTAATTTTTTTCCTGGTGGTGAATTTAGGGATGTAGCAAGTGTGAATACTCAGCTTTATCAGTGTCTGCTGTTTGCACTCCACCAGGTAGGACTTTGGACGACTCAGACAATGCGCTCTGCACAAGCAGCTGAGAAAAGCATTATCTTACAGGCAACCAGCAGGTCACCGTTATAATTCTATAGAAGCACTTCTATAGGAGAAGAAATCGAGTAATCTCCAAGCACCGTGGCATGTTTTTCTGAAAGAGAATCAAGCAAGGGAGTCGCAGCCCTGGGAAGGAAACCAAATGCAGAGCAGGTGTCCCACACGGCGCTGCTGAGCACAAATAAGCTGCCACAGGATTGAAGCGATTTAAAAAGCAGCAGTTAAGAGGAGTGACAATTGAAAATAGCAATACTTAGCCAAACAGATCATGAGAGCACGCTCCTACATTTGCTAAGGGAAATGAGAGTCTGAAGGTGGGATGCTGTGGCTGACACCAGGGAGCTGAATTTGCAAGCGGACCTTTAGTTCAGTGTCTTGTAAACCATGACCAAGGACTGGAATGGGAAGCTGAAATGAGGTGACAGGATTAGACTGTGCCATTATTTGTAACACTGTGATATTCTGCAGATCATTTGCTTCAACCTATGCTTCCCATACAGCAAAGAAGGACCTGTAAAGAACATGCAGTTCAGGCTGCTTGCCTGCACAAGGTAGCCCCCCCTGCTATATAAACAAACCTGTGGGAACTCTTGTGCTGAAAGCGTTGGCAAGTTTTCCTTAATGCTACAAGAAAACTACCCAACATGATAGTTATATCACATAAAAAATAGCTTTTTAAGTATGTTGTAAATGCCCAGCACATGACAGTACTGTGATGGATAATACCAGGCCAGACCACAAGTATGTAGGATAATTACAATCTCAGCCTGAATCTACCCCAAAAATACGCGCTACAGAACATGTCCAGGGAGAGAAAAATGTGCTAGAGACCACAGGGCTATGGAAGACCAAGAAAACAAACAAACTTTGAACTCTAGGTAGCATACCAATACCTGGAAATTGCAGCTAGATGGATAATTATTAGCCTTAAAGTTCACTTCAGGTACCACACCTTTGAAAGCAGAGATGCGATATCAGATTATGTAGATCCCAATTCTAGTAAATAAAACCTGGCTACAGCACTTCTGGACTGAGTACTATAGAGTTCCCATCTTATATCCTAGCACTAAGCACCATGAGTATCACTTACCTTCTCTTTATTTTACATTTATTTATTGCACCTTACTTTGGCATCTGAAACAATCTCCAAAGTTTATTTCAGGATAAGCTAACTTGCCCTCTTAGAGATGCCAGCAGAACTAGAGCCTTACACAAATAACTCAGTCACAGATATTTTAATTTAAAACACACAGGTTAAGGGCAAATTAACCTCATCCAAACATGAATTGTAGGCAGATATACTGCAGCAATCCACTCTGATGACGGCAGTTGTCATTTGTGGTGCGAGTTTTCTCATCTGGCATGAGAAATCTGCACTAGACTCTGGACCCTAAATCTAGACTCCTTTCATAGCTGATGAGGGGAGGTAAACTCTATTCAGATGCAATTTGTCTGATGTATTTTACACATCTACATTAGAATGAGACAGATTGTTTCCCCAGAAGTGCTAGTTTCTGTTCACTGATTACAAAGAGATGTCAGAGGTAGACATCCACATCTCATCAAATGAGTCTGACACTACCAATTCAAAAGAAAACATTGCAATACCATTACATGCAGAATTAATAACAAATGCAATTCATAGCTGCTCCTAACACCTGAGCATCTAAGAGATTTGGATACTCTGATGGAGCTTATATACACTGAAAGGTGTTGGATCTTGCTGAGCAACTGCTTGACATACGTATTTTGTCCCTTTGTTGTTCTATGTTCTTGCTGTCCTTTCCACTACTTTTCCAGATGCTGATGCAACACAATTTGTGTAAGGGCAAATGTTTCCTGCTTAGTCCCCTATTCTTTTCCTAATAATTCCTGGCATTCCATCAGTTTGTCCAAGGGCAGACATCGAACGTTTTCACTGAGCAGTCTGCTATGACTCCAGGCTATGCTCCATGAGAGGCAGCAGACAGTTTGGAGTCCATCATTCTGTGGTTTCTTAGGGACATTTTCCCCATTGCTTTGCCTCTATTGACTTTGAATTACATCTGCCATTTTATTCCCCGCAATTCAGTAGAGAGCCTTCTTCAGCTCTTCACAGCGAGCACTCACTTTTCCTGAATAGCTTAGCATAACTACAACTGAATATTTTTGTCAACATTCTGCTTTAATAATTGTAAAGGTTCTTGCTAAAAGCTGAACGAGGAAACAAAGAAATCTGATTGAATGACATATCTCCTGAACTCAAAAGAGTTCCTCCTTGGAGCCTGGTTAGCAGATTTCCCTAGATTTAGACCCATGTCAGACTACTGTGGTCCCGTCGACGGAGCAAGCTCCTGGCAGGGATTGATTCACAAATCGAGAGGTCACAGTGCTAGGCTGGCAATTGTGCCTCTTGATAGAGGCTCTCCTGGTTGCCACATAACCCTAGACATCTTCCAGAAACCTTGTGCCAGGTCAACCTGATGTTCAGTCCCAGATCTCCCAGCTAGATATGCTTGGTGCACAATATTCTGAAGCTGGAAAGACAGAGATGCTGCCCTACAAACATCTGAGGTGTTGCATGAGAGCAGCAAAAG